GACATCTTTCTCACAGATGTGATTCCTCAGCTTTCTGAAGCTGCCCCCCCCCCATATTACTGGGCAGTGATCCCCGTCTCATGGAATGGTATGAAGTTAAATCAAGTGCAAATGTACAGCATCAGGCATATAATAGGTGCTCAAATCAAACAGAACTCCCTCCCTTTCCCTCTTCTTTCCCCAAGAGGGCCCAGACTAGGGGTCGGATCTGTCCTGACCCTCACCCACCAGGGCTCATTGTCTGATCCTGGTCTGATCTCTGGTCCTTGGCCTCAGTCTCCCCATCTATGAAAAAAAGCTTCTGGGCCAAGTAGTATCTGAGTGTCCATGACCCTATCTATTCCAGTCTCCTTCCCACCTCCATTCCCTCCTTCCTTCTCCATTTCCAACTCGTGTCCTACTGCATCCCTCCTCCTGCAACAGAACCTTTGGGAGCCTAAAGTTGGGTGGAGGAGACAGCTGGTGAGCAGCAGGTATGAGCCCTCAAGCAACCCAAGGCCCACCCCAGGCTCCCAAGGGTTAAGATCCAGAGTGAAGGGCGGGAGGGAGGGGTGCATGGCAGGGTCAGCGCTGGACAGGCGGGCCTAGAGCCCAGGGCCTGCCTCCCCTTCCCCCACCCTGGGAACAGAGGCTACTTGTTTGGGCATCAGCTGGCTGGCTTTGAGCTTGGCTAAAGGAAGAGTGGGGTGGGGAGGGGAGAGGGCCCCAGAGAATAGAGGGGACTCCCTTCTCTTTTAGCCGATGCCCTAGTCTTAGTACTAGGCTAGTCCACCACCAGCCCCTAGGACTCTCAGAAGCCCCTTACCTCTCTGAACTGACCCCTTCCCTCCAGTTTGTCTCTTTCCTTCATTCAAACTAATTTCAGAGAACAAGATTTACTCTCAGGCCCAATTCTTGCCCCAGCGGTCTCTCTGTAGAGCATGAGACCAGGGCTTATCACCCCATCCTGCAGATGGGGAAATGGGGGCTCTAAGAAGTTTGGGAATTGAAGAGCCACATAATGTTTGATTGCTGTGCAGGGACTACCCCAAGCCCCAATCATCCCCAGGGCTCTGCAGGCCCTTCCACACAGAGCTCCAAGGAGACCCTTCCCAAGCTGTGACACTAGGAAGGATTGAAAGGTGAGGAAGGAAGAGGCAATAAGCAACCCACCTGTGAAGTCCCAAAGGACACAGATTTTTGGATGGGGAGAAAATTCTGGAGAGGGAGGGTGGGGAAGACAAACAACCTGCACAAAGGACCGAGGTTTCAGGTACAGAAAAGCATGACTGGAGCCTAAGAGGTGGTGGGGGTGCAGCTGGGCTGATGAAGCCTGGGGGCAGTCTGGGCCCCAGGTGACCTCTGCCCACTTCCACCTCACTAGTTGTCAGAACTGTGCCTGGAATGACCCCCTTGTGTCCGACTCTTGGGAGGAAGTGGTGAATGAGGAGGCAAGGTCCCCCAGGCCAGGGTCTAGGCAATCCCCAACCAGCCATGGGACACATGGGGATGAGTTCTCGCTGCATCCTGCCCCAGCTACCCCTTCCAGCCATACCCATCTCCTTTCCATTCCTCAAATATACCACGAAAGTTCCGGCCTTTGCACAAACTGTGCTGTCCTCTGGGGGGTCCTTATCCTTGTTAATTGCCACTTCACTGCCAAGGCCTATTCCAGTCATCTCCTCCTCCCTGGGCCTCCAAAAGTCCCAGTCCCTGATTCTATCTCGGTACCTGTCTGCACTTGTCTTCCAGATTCTGCTGGGATCTTTCTACCCTATAATGAGCTTGCTGGGAGGTCTCCCCCTAACCTGGGCACTCTCCGCTCTCCAAAGACAGATATCCTGGGTGCCTCAGTTTGGACCTTGGTGCTCAGTACAGTCAAATCCTACCTGACTACCTCCACAAATCTGTACCACCCTGCAGCAACTTCCCCCCCACCCCCGCCCCTTCCCTGCGACCAAGCCTGGGGATCAAGGAAAGCTCCCAGGACAAGAGCTTTGGATGAGGGAAATGCATATGCCAGACCGTACTGTGATCGCTCCTGATCAGAGTTCCCCAACACCAAAAATCACACTTGGAGATCTTAGACCAAACACCCACCCCATGCCCCCTAGGCTGCACTCCAAGCCTGCTCTCTCCAGCGCCAATAACCCACTCCCGGCTTGACCCCATTCAGTGAACACACACCTCCTCTTTCCAGCAATTGGGCCAGGTAGGAGCTCTTGGGAGGCCATGCCCCCATTTACTGATGGTGAATTGAGGCACAGAGACCGGAAGTCGTCTGCCCAAGGTCACTGGAGCCCCAGGTCCAGGGCATAGGGTCATAGGAAAGTGCCAAGCGGTAAGGGTCTCGGCGGTCAAGGAGGTGGGAGCCTTCATTTCACAGATGAGAACAGCGAAGCGCCAGAGGGCGGGCTGGCTTCGGCTCCTGGGAACGTTCAAGTTAAAGGACTAATAACTGGAAGCCCCCTGACCCGCCGGTTCGCCCTCCTCCGGACCGACTCTGGCCCGACCGCGCATCCTCAGTTGGTGACCCTCTTCCCCATCACCACACAGGGGAGCAGACCACTGCCGCGAGAGAAACGCCCGCGGAAGTAGGCGCGGGGCGCACAACCCGCGCGCGGCGTCGGCGTTCCCTTCTGCGAAATGGGGAAACTCCGGTCAACACCTGGTAAAGGGGCAGCGGACGGGGAAGTCCCAGCAGCCGCACTTACTTGTTCTGAGCGAAGACTCCACGCGGGGACCCGGGGAGTCAGGGTCCCGGCGCCACCACTGACTCACGCCGCTGTAGTGAACTCGCGGCCGCTGTCCGGCTCGCCCACTCCGCGGGGTGCTTCCGCCTGCCCCACGTGACGCCCGGGGAGAGGGGAGGGCGGGGAAGGGGCAGGGATCCGCCCCCTGCTCCTCCCAGCCTAGTCGCGGTGTTTGAGTCAGCGGGCCTGGCCCGCGTAGCGGACAGGTCTGTCGGTGCGTCTCCCCCGCCCTTCTCGTTGCTTGCCTGTCCGTCTCTGTCTCTTGAAGTTAAGATCTACCTCCAGGGCGCCTGGGTGGCTCAGTGGGTTAAAGCCTCTGCCTTCGGCTCAGGTCATGATCTCATGGTCCTGGGATCGAGCCGGGCATCGGGCTCTGTGCTCAGCATGGAGCCTGCTTCCCCCTCTCTCTCTGCCTGACGCTCTGCCTACTTGTGATTTCTGTCTGTCAAATAAATAAATAAAATCTTAAAAAAAAAAAATCTACCTCCAACCTCCCCACACGCTGAGTCTCCATCTCTTCCTGAGTCTCCCAGCTTCTTGCCACCCTTCTCCTGGTGACTCTACCCCCGGGATGGGGCCGGGGAATGAGCCACACATTCCCAGACCTCCCCCCGCCCCAGCGTCCCAGACCCCCAGGATGGAAAGGGGCGGTTGGAGGCGGGACGACCTAGGTCCCTAACCTCCTCCTCCTGCATGTCCTTCCCCACCTCATTCTCTGAGGATATCCCACTTCCTTCTTGGAGGCCACATCCCCCAGGGGTAGCGTGGTGGGGAAGAGCCCTACACAGTCAAAGGGCTGAGGGATCCCTTGGCAGGAGGCTGTATAGAGCCTGAGGTCCTGGCACCAAGACACCTTCAGTGGCTGAGATTGGTAAGATGTCTGCCCATCCTACCAGCACATACACAGATAAGGGCCCCGGGTTTGGGAGGAATTCCTGGGTCCTGTGTTCCTGTCACTTCTGAGGCCAGCCAAGTCAAGAGACCCTGATTTCTCTGCACTTCTATTTCTCCAAATGCCCAGTGGATATATTTGAAAGGACAGCTCTCACCAGGATGGGGCGCAGGGGTTGGCTCTGAGATTAGGAGTCATTAATCTGAGCACCTACTACATGCCAAGCCCAGTGCCGGGCAATTTATGCCTTTTATCTGAATCCTCATACCTCTCCCTGAAAGCAAAAATCATCACCCCAGGTTAGGGATTAGAATATGAAGATCCAAGAAGTTCTAGGACTTGTCCAGAGTTACAAAGCCAGTATTGGGCAAGCCTGGGATGGGAACCCAAGTCTTGGAGAGTTGTAGAATCTCCTGCCTACCCTGCACGGGACATCCACCTCACCCCTCTAGAAGAGAGTCAATTCCAAATGGGCTGTATCTTTCCAGGAGGGGAGGAGAGGGCCAAACCTTGGAGAGAACTTCTCAGCCCCAAATTCATATGGGGTGCAAAAACACTGGGGAGGGCCAGAGCACAGAGCTCTCACCCTCCCATCCTGATAGTAGGGGTGTCCCTTAGGTGGCAGAGGGTACCTGGAGGTCACTGAGAACAGGTGAGATTCAGGCACCTCTCTAGATCTCAAAGCCTGGTCTTGAAAGCAGCCAGGTGGAACACAAGACCAGGGGACAGGCATCTGACCACTTGCAGAGGACTGCGAGCTCTACCTTTTCTGTTAACATAGGCCTGAGGTCTTCAAAGTGACTTGGGAAGTCTCGACTCACAGAACCTGGTCCCTCCACTGCACTGAAGTCTGATGACCCTCATCTCAACCCCCAACCTTCCTCCTCCAGAACATGTTGCCCCCAATCTTCATTCTGAGGCCCACAGCCATGTGGTCTGAGACCCAGGAACCTTTCTGCCTTCCTTCCGTGATGACTGGATAGTGTCAGACCCTCTACTTCCACAGCTTGTACCAGTGGGGCCTTAGGCTGAAGGTCACATGGAAGAACCTCACCCTCTGACCCCTGACCCCGGGCCAGACCTACTTCTCTCAGAGCCCTGAAAAGTAGCCATAGAGCCTAAAGCGAACAGGCAACAAGGACAGGCCAGCGGATGAGTAAAATGATGAACAGATACAAAAGAGAACACACTATGGAACAACCTCACGTACACCCCCAGCCGCACTTGGGGAAATGAGGGGTTGCCCAAAGGGATAAAGTCCAGGTGATCAATAATGAAAATTCACAAAATGAGCTCTAGAACAAGGGGATTAAGGGCTGCGAAGGTGGGTGGTCATGCCCCGGGGTGGTGGGAAGCAGGTACAGCGACGAACCAGCTGAGGCTGTGGGATCATTTATTGGGGCTGTGTCCAGCCAGGCCACAGCGCCAGCCTGGGCCGGAGCCCAGCGTCCCTAAGAGGCGCGGGGGTGGGGGAGGGGAGAAAGCGCAGGAGGATCCGCCACCCCGGCCCCACTTCATTTTGTCTTGGTCCCTGCGGTGGTGCCGCGCTCAGGTAAGCGAGGTGTCGTCATCGCTGCCCTCGCCGCCTGCGCCCCCCAAGCGCTCCTCCCGGCTCTCTGTCACAGCGCTCTCATCGATGTTCTCCAGCGAGTCCGCGTGCTGCACGGAGAGCTCCGACAGCGCCAGGCTCGGCAACGGGCTCTGCTCTGGGTGTAGCCACGGCTTGAAGTGCGGCTGATGCTTCTGCTTCCACTCCGGGTACTTGACGCATGCCTTGTACATCTTCTTCATGGCCTGTGGGGCCGCGGCACAGCTGAATCAGGGGTGGACGCGGAGCGGGACTGCGTCTTCGCCAAGTCCCGGCCTACGCCCTCCAGCGGCTCATTCCCCAGCTCTGGGTATCTGGACTCTGGCCCATTTCATGACTTCGCCCCTCAGCCCTGACTCCGCCCCCTGACTCCCAGTCCCCATCCTTGACCCACCCCTCCTCCGAACCCTTTCCCCCAGCTTCCGTACCCAAAAGTCCCAAGGCCACTCACCTTGGGAGCCAGGAACTGAGAAGATTTATTCACTACCCACTTGGGTAAGGAGCCTACGAGAGCAGGGAAAGGTAATGAGAGAAGGAAAGCAGCCGCCTAAGGGACCCAGCCCCCGCCAAACGTATATACCACCCCACTCCTTCCAGCCTGGGGCTTCCACAGAGGGTACCCTCTTCTCCCTGGGCGTGGGGGGAGGCTGTGAGTCAAGTCCTGTAAGACTGCATCATTCTCACTTTCTCTTTCCACCTCAGCCCAAGGTCTCTAGGATCAATTCTGTTGTATCCCCCCAAACCCACCCCATTCACCCCTCCCATCCCTCTGCTGCACCCCAGAGGACTACATGGAAGAAAACCACAGGATCCTAGGTGACCACAGGCTACAACTAGATTGAAATCATGACCCACCAAGCTCCCACCCACCACCTCCCCTCCACTGACATCCCTTCTCATACCCAGCCTGTGAACGGCCTTGATGCTCAGTCCCTCATCTACCTGTCCTTCCAGGTCCCCTGCCCCAGGAAGTCTAGCTGCTACACAGGCCCCTTGGCTGAGCACCCCACCTTGGCCCGACCTGGAATCCACAACACAGTTGTCTACCCTTTCTCATTCCCAGGTGTCTACTTTGCCTGACACCCATCACAGTCAGTAAGGAGCAAGAGGGCCCTGGGCCTGGTTCACTGGACCCTCGGTGGGGCTTGGGCACACCCAGGCAAAGATGTTCAGGGCCTACCCAACCTCTAGCCAGTCACCCATTCACTCACTCACTCCACATCCACTCCGTGACACCTACTCTGGGCCAGTCCCGGGAGCCCAAAGAACAGCTCACTGTCTGGGACCCAACAGTGTGCCAAGGGCTCTGCTGGAGGTGAATGGGCCCACCAAGCAGGGAGCCAGAGGTGACCTGGGTATCAGAGACAAAGGAGGTGACATCTGAAGCAGCCCTATGGGCATGAGTGAGGGAGGAGAGGTGTGAGGCTGAGGGAAACCATTGCCTACACAGGGAGGTGGGACCATGTAAGGTATGAGGGGGGACTGTGAAAGCTGGGGAGGGGGCTTAGAATTTACTCTGAGGGCAAGGGAAAGCCAGAGAAGAATTCTAATCAGAAGAGAGTCATGTAGAAATATGTGTTTTGGAGAAATTCCTCAGTAGCTGTAAGGACAGACAAGGTGGCCGAGTACGGAGAGAAAGGACAGATTCAGGAGCTATTTAGGAGGTAGAATCAATAAGAATGGGTGGCCAGATTTGGGAGCCGAGCAGAGGGGACTCCAGTCCACCCCCAGATTCTTGGCATGGGTGACTGGGGGTTGGAGGCTTAGGAGAAGGCATAACCTAAAGGAGAGAGAGTTCAGCGTGGTGCACAGTGAATCTCAGGTCCTGGAAGACATCTGGAGGGATGAATCCAGGAAGCCAAAGGCTGCAGGGATCTGGATACTAGCAGAGACGCACGTCAGCTGGCCACAGAGCCTGGGGAAAAGAGTACTCGGTGGACATGGAAAACTCAGGCCGCTGGGATGGGCAGAGGTAGGAGCCAGCAAGACAGACAGGGTGAGAGCAACTAGTGAGCAGGAAACAAGTCAGAGCCAGGGCGCGGGGGCCCAGGAAAAGAGCTCCAGTCCTCGTCGCGAGCAGCACCTACCACCTTGGCCTTTGTTTTTCAAACCATTATCAAGTCTCAAACCTTGGTTCATAGGATATTCTGGATGGAGAGGCCCCCAAATACAAAATAGCTCCAGACAGAGGCCCTTTTTGATCCCTAGTAGATCAGGTCACATCCCCTGTGGTATAGGAAAGGATCTCCTGATGGGCTACTGGGGCCAAGCCCTCACCTTTGGGGTCCACCTGGGCCAGGTAGGTGATGACGCAGCTCTTGGGCCCCGTGCTCTGGATGAGGTAGCCCGTCTGGATGGACACAGCTCGGACCAAGTCTTTCCGAGGCGGGTATTTCTGGGGATGGAAGGCAAAGGGAGGTGAGACTCAGGGTTGGGGCAAAAGAAGTGTCTTTGTGAGTATACACACACACACACACACACACACACACACAGGTAGCTAGTTCAAAACCCCTGGCATACACTCCAGGCCAGGCCTGATGCAGGGGTGAGGAGAAAGGGAGGACTCAGACTAGGTCACCCCTGCCTCTCTTAAGCTCCCCCCGCTCTCCCCAGGAATGCCCCCAGTCTGCGGTCAGGGGTCATGAGCACATAAGTGGGCAAGCACACACACTCCTCTTTGCCCAGGCCAGAGCAAGGTGGCCCAGCCTCAGAGAGGGTCAGAGAGCCCTGCCTCTCACCCCTTGTACCCCCTTTCCCAGCCAGCCCATCTCACTTGCCCACAGGGATGGCCTACATCACCCTCTTCTCAACTGTCTGAGAGCTGAGCAGGGAGACCAGAGCCAATATTCTCACTATGTAGGAAGGAAACTGAGGGTTGGCGGCCTCTTCCTGGGCCAGGCCTGCTGGCCCAGCCATACCCGGCCCCTTCCCCTGTGCCCCCAGAAGGGAAGGCAGGTAGACTCACGGGGTGTTTGACTGAGTAGTTCATAATGATGTAGTCAGTGCCCATGGGGAGCCAGGAGCGGAGGGTGATGACATCACGGTTCTTCAGGGGCTTTGGACACCTCCCTGTGAAGTGCAAGGGACAGTTCAGCCAGGCCACTGGCCTGCCTACCTGCAAGGGAGGGCACAGCTGAGGCCAGGCACAGAGATGCCTTGTCAACTGCCAGTTCCCCCTGATCTGAATGGCTACCCCAACCCCTGCCAGACCACAGTCCCAGAGCTAAGACTAGGAGAGAGAAAGGGCAGAACACTCTCCTCTCCCCTCTGGTCTCGGGGACCACCTCACTGCCTCCCGCAGCTCTTCCCTTGCTGGCCTGGCTGTTTGTGTGATCGTGAGTATATGGGAGAACGATGTTACCGTGAGTGTGTGTGTCTGACGATGTAGGACTGGGAACATGCGGCATGCGGCCATGGGCTGCAACGTGACTATGTACACATGTGTGGAATGTGTATCCATGAACATGTGTGTGTGGCTGCGTATGCCAGGGAGGGCGACCCTCCATCTCAGCACTTGGGTGTCGGAGCCACCTGGCCACAGGAGTGAGCGCAGGGTGGGCAGGATGGAGAAGGAGGCTGGGCTGGAGGCCTGGATGGGGGCAGAGAGCTGGGATCGTGCTTGTGGCTGCTCACAAGAGTAATAGCCCACGTCAGCATTGACTGTCAGGCGGGCGATGTCGAAGGTCTCAATGACGTTGCTGTCCCACTTCTTTCGATACTCAATGTCGTGGAGCACGTCATAGAGCGTCTCGGCTGGCACGTCTCGGCATTCCATCCGGCACTGCGGACACACACAGGGGGTGTCAGGGCCACACAAGGTTCCACGCCCTGGCCAGGAGACCCAAGGGGGGACAGGCAAGAAGGGGAGAAGACGGACAGAGAAGAACAGCAGCTCTGAGGCCAGCATGGGCTGACCTCTTGCTGTGAGCCCTGTCCAGCCCTCCCAGCAGCCACCTGTGCTGGGAGACAGACAGCCCCTGGATCCAGAGACCATCTCCCGTCTCAGCCCCCAGCAAACCTCCCCTTACGTCCCAGTCTCCTTCTCCAGGAAGACCTCTTGAATGACCAGGCCAGACCTTCTGGACTCCCAGACACTAAATCTCTCTGTGCGGTCCCAGACCCCTGAACATCATGGCTGAGGCTCACAGCTGACTCAGCGCAGAATGTGGAATAGGTACATGTTAAATGAATTGAAAGCATAAATAAATGCCTAAATGGATGGTTTCTTTCATCCGTGATACTCACTACCATATCATTTGTATGCTTTTTTTTTTAATCCAACAAACATCTCTGGATTTTTAAAAAAGATTTATTTCTTTGATAGAAAGAACACAAGTAGGCAGAGAGGCAGACAGAGAGGGAGAAGCAGACTCCCTGCTGAGCAGAGAGCCCGATGCGGGACTCAATCCTAGGACCCTGGGATCATGACCAGAGCCGAAGGCAAACGCTTAAAGGCTGAGACACCCAGGCACCCCATGGATTTTTTTTTTCTTAAGATTGTATTTATTTATTTGAGGGAGAGTGAGTGAGTGAGTGTGGGGTGGAGGGGAAGAGAAGAGGGAGAGGGAAAAGCAGACTTCGCATGGAGCACAGAGCCAGACACAGGGTGCTGTGCAATCCCAGGACCCTGAGATCCCAACCTGAGCCAAAACCAAGAGTCAGATGCTTAACTTACTGAGCCACCCAGGTACCCCAAACATCTTTGGGTTTCTTACAGTTTTTAGCCTTGTTCTCAAAGAGCTTTCCATCTAGGGGAGAAAAGAACCAAGGATACTTTTTTTATTTAACCCTCAAAACAACTCTGTCAGACAAGAAATCCAAGGAGGAACTTGAGGCTGAGAGAGGTTAAGTACTTAACTTGCCTGAGGTTGCCCAGCTGGTAAGCAGCAGAGCTGGGATTTAACCTAGATCATATGTCTGTAAAAACAGAACTATGTTAAGTTTGCACTCAGCAAGATGAAACTTAGTTCATGTCCTTGTTCCGTGATTTTTCTTCACCTCAAAGCCCCAAACCCCAGGATCATGTTCCCCTCAGCAACTGGATGAGTTTTCTTGTATAGTTTAAAAAGTTCTCCCAGAACTGGGCATTCAGATGGTGCCAAGGGAGCCACACATCTTACTAAAAAAGGGGATCTATGCAAACATATGAGGGCGAGTCATACTACCTTTCCTCTAACCTTGTGTTAGGCCTTGGCACACTAATAGTGAGGAAAGGCCACAGGAAGGGCACATCACCACCTACTGGGTATTCTAGGCATCAGTGAACTCATCAAGCCTGGGATATACTTCACTTTACAGAAAATACGGAGGACAGAGAACCAGCTAAATTTCACAAGAACACAACTGAAGGCAGACGGGGAGGCACTCTCCAAGGCCACTGATCCAGTCACTTCTACAGGTCAATGTCATAATGAAGGGTCTGGACTAGACTGACAGGACCCAAGAACCAGATAGAAGGTGTGGTCCTGGATTGCATGCTGACCTGGACGAAACAGCTCTAAGGGCTATATTTGAGATGACTGGAGAAATGTTGATATCTTCTGAGTATTAGGTGCACTGAAAATTTACTGAAACAAAGTGGTAGAATGCTGCCTGAGGAAAAGCAGGTTACAAAATGGAATGCGCAGTATAAGCTCATTGTGGAGGAAATCTATGCACAGAAAACCCTCAGGAAGAATAATCACTGAAGTGTTAACAGCAGCAATCTTGAGATGACGAGAATATGATGGTTTTCTTTTCGCTGTATTTCTTGTTTTCTAAAATGTATAGTACTGCTCCTACAATAGTGACAAGATTTAAGTAGAAAGGTCGCCCAGAGGTACTGAGGGGTGCACTCACCAGATGCCAGGTACTACTCTCCCCCTAGACCTCTGCTTCTCCTCTCCACCCCCTTCTTCCTCCAGCCACCGGCAGAGGAGAGAGTCTCCCTTTTCCCCCTCCAGGTACTATCCTAAGTGCTTTACACACATTACCACATTTTGTTCTCACAGAACGGCTCTGAGGTATTAGCCCCATTTTAGAATTAGGACAGCCCTCGAAGTTCCCTTTCCAACCTGGATCTGGCAGAATGGCTCCTGCAAAGAAGTGTGGTGAGAAGAGGAAGGGCCATTCTGCCATGAATGATGCAGTGACCAGAGAATATGCCACTGACATTCATGAATGCATCTGTGGAGTGGGTTGCAAGAGGCGTGCCCCTCAGGCACACAGAGATCTGGAAATTTGCTATGAAGGAGATGGGGACTCCGGATGTGCGCAGTGACACCAGGCTCAGCAAAGCTGTCTGGGCCAAGGGAATAAGGAATGTTCCATACTGTACTCGTGCGCAGTCGTCCAGAAAACATAACAAGGGTAAAGTTTCATCAAACAAGCTTCATAGGCTGGTTACTCAGGTGCCTTTCAAAAGTCTACGGATGGTTCATGTTGATGAGGACTAACTGCTGACTCTCAAAGAAAGGTCTAAAACGCAAAAGGGAGGAAGGGGGGGGGGGGGGGGGGGGGGGGAGGAGGCAAGGAAGGAAGAAAAACCAAAAAGAAAAAAAGAAAAGCTCAAGGACAGACTCCAGCTTGCAAAGGTTCACTGTGTGACCCTGAACAAGTCACCTTCCCTCTCTGCTTTTCTGCTGGATGAAAGGGTATGACTCCAGATCCAATCAGTTAACTAACAGGCCCCAATTCCAGCCTTGTGCAGAGCACGGAAGAATCAGAGTTGACTCAGGCCTGTGCTCCAGAGGCTTTCAGTTGAGGGAGGAGACTAACTTGACAATGGAAAGGTAGTCCAAACCACCTGATGAGGGCACAAAGGAGGTCAGCTCTGCAAGGTGAAGGGAGGCATCGGGCTGCACAGAGAAGCTGTCTGGAAGGCAGGTGTCTGCCGAGGGCCCCGGAAGAGAGAGCAGCCAGGGAACAGGCACAGAGGCAGACGAGAGTGAGGTGTGTAGGCAAGCCAAGTGTCTGCTCCAGTCCCTCTGGTGTGTTGTAGCCTAATGGTCAAAAGGTCCTGGTTCCAGGTCTTAGAGAAATGTGTGATTCTGGGGCTGGGTCAGCAAGTAAGGAGAGCAAGTAAGGACACACTCACAGAGTGATAGGGACCTTGCCCTGCAGACACAGGATCCAGCATGAAGGGCTCCCACTGGTTCAGGGAGCGACTTGTCAGGGTTTGCCCAAGGCTTTGCCAGTTTTAGCAATGAAAATCCCACATTCTGGGAAACCCCTCAGTCCCAGACAAACTAGGACAGTTGGCCACCTACCACAGGCTAAAGCTGGGACAACCCATGTATTAAAATAGTGACAACAGATTGTATTCCACAGAACAAAATAGGAAACCAAAGGAAATATAGGTATGAATAAATAAAATTAATGTCTATGGGGCGCCTGGGTGGCTCAGTGGGTTAAGCCGCTGCCTTTGGCTCAGGTCATGATCTCAGGGTCCTGGGATAGAGTCCCGCATCGGGCTCTCTGCTCAGCGGGGAGCCTGCTTCCCTTCCTCTCTCTCTCTCTCTCTCTGCTTGCCTCTCTGTCTACTTGTGATCTCTCTCTGTCAAATAAATAAATAAAATCTTTTTAAAAAAGTAAAAAAAAAATTAATGTCTGATGAGGAATAGGGTATTTACATAGCTTCAAAGTAACTTCCCATCAAATACTTATAAATTACAAAGGGAAAAATGAGTAACTTCACTGTAGAGAAGCAGGGCAGACACCTTCTGAACCAAGTGATCCCAGTGAACTTATTAGTAAGGAGATAAGTTGGTACTGGCTGTCGCCTGACAGGACGTGATGAAGAGAATACAGGCAAAACTCACGTGACATTTCTGCCAAACATGCATAAACACAATCGAATCATTAGGAAAATCAGACAAACCCCAAATAAAGGACTTTTACAAAAGTCCCCCCTGCTGAGCGTCAGGGTCTGGACAGGCAAGGAAGGACTAGAGAACTCTACCAGACTGAAGGAGACTTCAGATGGACTGACTGATGGACACAGGAGTGAACGCTGTGGGGGCAGTGAGGGAACAAAGCGAGGGGAGGACTGGGACGGAGAGAAAGGTGGTGGAGAAGATGGCAGAGGTCAGACCAGCGATGACAGCTGTGGGATGACCTCTACCCAGTAGGCCCGTGGAGGTCTGGATGCTGCAGTGGCCTGTCAATGCACACGCACGCTTTACCCCACCTTATGAGTGGGCATCACTCCCACACTGCCAGGTAGGAGCCCAACACCCAGGAGCCGCAGCAGCCAGAATCACAGGGCAGCAAAGGCAGTCAGCAGGGATCCAGAACCGGCTCTTCCTGTCCTCTCAGCTCTCAAGGAGCACTCGAGGGCGGCCTCTGGGGAAATAGGACTTGTCTAACCAAAGCCAGCTTGCAAAGCTGACTTGGCTCTGCAGGTCCTCAGAGGTGTTCTCTGGGCCCTGAGTGTGTGTGGAGGGGCCATGACAACAGGATTCTGCTCTTCGCTTAGAACCCTACCTAGGACCGCCTCCTCCCCCTGGCCAGGCTCAGCGTTCCGAAGGCCTGGGTACACACTGAGAGGGGACCCACACTGCCCAGACGCTTCCCATTTTCCCTAGGGCCTGGGGCTCCTGTGGTTTCCTGAGACAGCAAGCGGTAGTCCGGTAGTCCAGGTGTGCACAGCTCTGAGGCAGACCCCGCAGGTAAGTATAAACTCTGCATTTCATCTTTTAAATAAAGAGGGAGGGATAAACAAACAAATAAATAAAAAGGGAGGGATGCCTGAGTGGCTCAGTCAGTTAAGTGCCCGAATCTTGATCTCAGCTCAGGTCTTGA